GATGCTTGGGTCAGTAAGATCCCCGGGAGAAGTCCAATATTCTGGCCTGGAAAATTCCTTGGACAGAGGAGCCTGACAGGCTACAGTCCCTGGGGTCACAAACAGCTGGACACAACGGAGCATGCACGCGGCTCAAAGCTTTAATCAGACCTAGAAGGAAATGTGAACGCATATATGCTGAGTGTGGTCAAATCCGTGTAACAGGATTTGGGCAGAGAGATTTTTGTTTTGTGTTTTAAACTTCATATACTCATTTAAAATCAAGATTTTAGAAAAATAAAGTTTATTTTTAAAAATAAAAATCATTGGCATATTCTGAATATAATGGCAGATAAGAAAGCTTATATTCTTCCATTCTAAGCATTACCTTCCTCTTATCCAAGATATTTGCATTCAATTTCTCTTCTCTTTCAGTTCTGAGTCTGCCATATTTGCTCTTAGTTTTGGGGGAAAAAAAAAATCAGCTCCTTGATCTGTAAAATAGCCTCTTCATTCATAAAATGAGACACACAATACAGACAAACTTTTCCACCTGGTGGACTTCAGGGTGCTGGTGTCCTGAATATAAGTGAGGAATTGACCCCTCCTACAAGGCAGCAGTCGAGAGGGGTCAGGGGCTGCTGGAGCCCTTTGGGCTAGCACTGCTGGCCATGGGCAGCCTTGTTTGGGTCTCCTCAGACACCTGTGCAAAGCAGTCTGAAGTGTATGCCAAAGCAGCAACCCACACTTACAGTTCTGCTGTTGGCATGTAGCCAAGGAGATGGCTGCCACATTGGCATCTATCTGCCAAGCACCCCTCATGAATCAGGGATCCTGGAGCCAATGCAGGAGACTCATGGGGCACAGCACACAGTCTCAGGGATAATCAGTCAGGGTATAAGAGAGGAGCCTTGGCAGAGTATAGTTTCTAATAGGCTCAGCTTCAGGCAATGCCTTTCATATCTATCTGAACATATATCTCCTTGCAGCAGTGCACTCTTTAAATAGTGCCCAGGCTAGCTCTTGACATGGAGAAGGCAATGGCAACCCACTCTAGTATTCCTGCCTGGAAAATCCCATGGACGGAGCAGCCTGGTGGGCTACAGTCCATGGGGTCGCTAGGAGTCGGACATGACTGAGCGACCTCACTTTCATGCATTGGAGAAGGAAATGGCAACCCACTCCAGTGTTCTTGCCTGGAGAATCCCAGGGACGGCGGAGTCTGGTGGGCTGCCATCTATGAGGTCACAAAGAGTCAGACACGACTGAAGCAACTTAGCAGCAGCAGCAGCTCTTGACAATGCATGCACATTCTGAAAACTGGAGTTTCAGATATAAAAATGTACTATTGGGGCTGAAATTCATTTGTATTATCATATGAAATTGCAACATTATATTTGTCAGTGAAAAAAGAGAGTTGTAAGAGTTGTTTTTCTTTACATATAATTATAATTGTACATTTTGTACAATTGCGTAACATGATTTTAAATATTTTATCGCCCACTTAAGTGGTCAGAGTCCCTCACTTATAATTACTACTCAGAATATGAGTTTATCACTAAAACTTTAGATCAGTAAATTAATAAATCCATTTTAACCATAAAACTTAATATAAAATATATTTACAGAAACAAATTCAAGTCAGCTGTTTAAAAATGTGGAAAATTTTTATTTGAAAGTTTTATCCAAATTCAATGTTTAATATATCCTGTAATACACTGTATTTTATCATTATTCAACTTAAAGAAAATGTTATAAATTTTTTTTACCATCATTCAGATCCCTCTAAATCTCTTCATTCATGCAACTGAATACGCTGTAGAAAAAAAATTAGCATTTTCTCTATGTGTTGTGATATGAAAGACATTGAGCAGTTTGATAAAGATCATTTATAAAGTCAGTCTTCCAACCCATCCAACCCTAGGACACTTGTCCCCTGATCCCTACTCCAAACACACCCTCTCTCTCCCATAAACATTTCAGTGACAACCAGGGCTACAAAGACAGAAAGCAGCCAAGTTTTGAGTCTGTCCAACAGGGTCAAGAACTCCAAAAATGATATTTGTACAAGACACCATGTGGCCCTGGAGTTGGAGGGGAAGCTTAGACAAACGCATAACAAATAGCTAATGTCTAAAAAAGCCACAGAATCCGGATGAACAACTAAACTGGAAGAAATCCACAATTTACTCTAGGCCAAAAGACCAGAATAAGCAGACTGACATAGCATTTTCTTGGATGGAAGTACTTAATATCGTATCACCCAACATTTCTCAAATTAATATGAAAATTTAATACAATTTAAAGAAAGAATAACACAAGTTATTGATTAGAAATAACTTGGTTAGAAAACACCATGCAAACATATGCCAAAGTGAAGCCAAGTGGTCAGTCTTCTTGATAACCCTGCAGTGTCTCATAGGTACTGAGGTGTGAATGCCACCTCCCTGAGGTCTTTAACTTCAAGTTTTTCTGCACACTCAGAACTGACGAAGTTATTCTTGACTATTTCATATATAGTTTTATGAAACAGTCTTACTATTTGTAATGAAACTCACAAAGTTTTTATATATTAACAAGACACTAAGGGTATAAAGTGAAGTCGCTCAGTAGTGTCTGATTCTGTGACCCCACGGACTGTAGCCTACCAGGTTCCTCCGTCCATGGGATTTTCCAGGCAAGGATACTGGGGTGGATTGCCATTTCCTTCTCCAGGAGCTCTTCCTGACCTAGGGATTGAAGCCCAGTCTCCGGCACTGTAGGCAGAGGCTTCACTGTCAGAGCCACCGGGGAAGTCCATTGGAAGTCCATTGGTTGGTATAAACCCCTGACAGGTTTTCTGCCATAAGCCGGCGAGTCCTTCATTTCACACAAGCACACTACAGAGTTAGTAAAGTACGGCAGAAAACACGTTTGCTAGGAGAACAAAGAACTAGAGCTCCACCCATCCTTACCTTGTCCTGAAGAATCCCGGAGGAGCCCCCAATATGAAAGGTTGCTGCTGAACTACAAAAGGGGCCAGGATTCTTGGCCTCCAGAGGAGAAGAACTCAATCCCAGGCCAGTGACGAAGCTTTGATCGCTCAGAGCTTTTGTGTAATAAAGTTTTATAAAAACTATAAAAGAGCTAGAGAAAACTTCTGACACAGACATCAGAAGGGGACAGAAAACTTTTCCAATATCTCAAGGACTACTGTTGGCTATCAGGAGTACCTGATAAACAGAATATGTAATCATTTGCTTGTGATAGAATCAGAGCAACCAGAGGAGGTTTGGAAGGTTGTTTCATCCAAGTTTCATTAAGGCCTAGAGACTGGTTTCTGCCCCAAAACAGAGTACATTTAGTTCATGTCTCCCAAATCAAACTCTGTTCCACTTGGGCAATGCTACATAAACACCAACAGATTGTTATTACTTGTGCCCCATTTTTCCCCAAACTCCAAGCTGGTCATTCCCCATTGGTTAATAAACTGCCTTTCAAACAACTTAGAATATAACTGATTAGATTTCTAATCTTTCTAAGGAAGGGCATGGTCAATTCTAAAGGAGATGTTCATATGGATTGCTACATTAAAATATATGGCATGTTTTAGTATCGTAGGGAGACGTGTCAATCCTGGTCATTTTATCAGCACCTTTGCTTAAATAGGAGTCCACAGATTATTAATTTACAGCTGTCATGGGTGTTGGCGATCACTAAATCTTATCCCCATTTTCATTAAAAAAAAAAAAGAAACACCCACGAAACTAAAACTAGAGCTCATTGAGGGCAAATGAGTTAGTCATTTGGTAGGCCAAGAAAGAATTAGACCGACTCTGATTCTGTTTGTATACTTCACAAGTGAAAATAATTAGGTAAAAATCATTCTCCGAGTATCTTATAATCCTACTTTTAGCAATCTTGTAAATCATTACTTAAATCTGGCGTCTCAGCTCTTTGCACAGCAACTAGCAGTTTAAGAAAATAATGCCAACAGATTTCTTGAGATGAATGAGTACCTAATTAACTGACTTCTACCAACTGGAAAGGAAATGGCAACCCAGTCCAGTATTCTTGCCAGGAAAATTCCATGGACAGAGGAGCCTGGCGGGCTACAGACCATGGGGTAGCACATATATATTATCTTTTTAACACTCTTTTTTAAAATAGTTTTTTTTTTTAAAGCTTTCCTCCTCATTTTCACTTTATTTATTTAATCTTTCGGTCTCACCACTGGGCACGTGGGTGGAATCTTAAGTTCTCCAGCCAAGGATGGACCCCCCCTCCCCCTCCCCTTGCGGTGTAAGCACAAAGCCCTAACTACCAGACCACCAGCGAAGTCACCCTCCACCAGTCGTGCTTCTGCTCTTTAAGGGTGAAATTCCACGGTGTCAACCGCGTTTTGTAGCCTTTCCAAGATGCCCATGATTCACATGCGTTCGTGTGACAAGGATTTTCAGTGCGGGCCCTCACAGTGGGCGTGGTAGTCATGGAGTCCAGGCCTCGGCATTTGGAAACGTGCGAGGAGACGCCGAGGGGCAGAGAGGGCTTTCTTACAACTCTAAATTACAATAAGGAAAAACGTGGTTTTATTTAAGCACGGGAATGAAATAAATTCGGTAATAGAGACCTAAAAGGCCCACGTGGGGGAGGGGAAAGGGGCGCGAGAAGAAAGGGAAACAGGCCTTTTTCTCCAGTGACGCGCGGTCACGAGGCGTTCTCCCGACGTGGGCGCATGCCATTGGCCAAACCCCAGCTGACGTCCTCGTAGCCGCCCGGGCGCGAACAGTGGCAAGGGCGGTGCCGCACTGGAAGTTGGCGAGGCGAGCGCGCTCCCGGGGCCTGCCACGCCTCCATCCTCTGCCCGCCAATCCACTCTTCAAGTCCCTCTTCGCGCCCAGGTGGCCACGCCCCTTCCTAACTCGCCCCTCCCCCCACTAGGCCGGCGGCGCGCGGAAAGTGCGTCACGTGACGGCTGGCTCCGCCTCTTCCTCTCGGTCCCATATTGAACTCGAGTTGGAAGAGGCGAGTCCGGTCTCAAAATGGAGGTAAAACCGCCGCCCGGTCGCCCCCAGCCCGACTCCGGCCGTCGCCGCCGCCGCCGGGGGGAGGAGGTATTAGGGGGAGAGCGGGGGGTTGTTGGGTAGTGGCCGGCAAGGTGGGGGGCCGGGCTCGGTGGGAGCGGGGAGGCCGGGTGGACCGGGTCGGCCGTCCCGCGCTCTGCGTGGAGACGGGCGCTGGGAGGGGGATGGGAGCGGGCCTCGGAGCCCTCCTCGGGGCTTCTCGCCAGCCTTGCCGGCTCCCTGGGCTGCACACATGGTCCCGTTGAGGCGCGGTGTGGCTGGCGAGACTTCGGGAGGGGACCTGGCCCGCTGGCCGCGCGGCCTCGCATCTGAGGCCGAGGGCGGCATGGCGGGCCTCGGCGAGAGCGGTTGGGAGGAGGCGGTGGGGGAGGGGAGGGGACGAGCAGGCACATCCGGGCGAGCGAGCAGGCGGGCGGCGGCCACACTGACATTGATCCGCCGCCGCGTTACGAAATGGCGCATTGGCACGCAATGGCCGCCGCCTGGCTCCGCCGCGGGAGAGAGCGTGGGATTGGAAGGAAAAGGGAGGAGGCGGCCCAGCAGAGAATGCCGCAAATGGCTTCTAAGCTTGGGGCCTAGTGCTCTCGGTGATGTTCTCCCGACGCATTTCTAGGCCTTAGAGATCTCTCAGTGGAGAATTTTATGTTTCGTTCTGTACCTTGCAGCACTCGGTTGAAAACACGACTCTTTTATTTTGAAGTTTACTGTTTTAAAGTACTTACTGAGCTGCCATTTTTGCCAGAGTACTTAATATATTACACGTAACTTCGCGCCATGTGGGTGAAGTATCTCGAAATTTTGCGTGTGGTTGTAAAATATGAAATTGAAAATTTTCTCATCTTCATTTTTTTATTCTCTGATGGGTCGGCCCTGGTTGTAGTTTATTGGAAATTTGTTTTCCAGGCCTGCAACCAGAGTCGAATTTTTCATTTGATATAATTCCATGTGGGTTCTAGATGGTTTGTCAAGTTTGCGTTGTCGTCAATGAGATGCATTTAACTGGGCCTTGAAAGGGTGAAATTAAGTGAATTAATGCTTTAGGCTATTAATCGTTTAACATTTTTTCCTAGCATGTGACAGCCTCTTCATATTAAATGCCTTAGCGTCTCTACTTTTAGAAGACACAGGAAGACCTTAGAATGTAATGTATTTAAGCACTTTTGATGAACGATATCTTAATGCATATGTGTATTAAGTGGCTGTTCTTGTAATTTATTAAAGACCTAGTTGAAGTATAAAACAATTAGGCCATATGTTGGTTTTCTGTAAATCTCAAATTTTTGTTTTGTTGGGCTCCTTTCTTGTCAACCTATATCGAATACTGTACTTAACGTAAGTCCAAAACTGGTGCTTGTGTGACCCAGTGAAGTGTTGGTTTTGATATTTTGGACATGTGGTAGGAGTGCAAATAGGAAATTTTTATGTGGTAGGTTTTTTTCCCCACAGGTTTTTTGGTGAGGGGGAATGCTGGTTTCTTTTCATTGAGAAATATTTATTTCAACATCTTTATTTGCTTGAAAGTGGTAAATTTCCCTTTGTCACTCGTAACGTAAGTTGTGCTTCACGGTTTAGTGGTTTAAAATTAAATGCTTTGGGAGGTGTAGAGTCAGGAGGGAAGTTAGGAAAAGAAACGGCATAGATAAAATACTGAATTCACAACACTAATTTCTTAGAAAGTGGTCTTCTCAGTGGCCACTTCAAAAATAATCTACCCTCAGGAATTTGTAGTTGTAGCTCAAAATTACGGGACTTTTGAATCTGGAATTCTCTTGGGCTTCAGTTTAGTTTTGAAGTGATGTTGGCATTTCAGAGTTTGGCTATAGGTTTTCTTGGTGTTTGGGTCCCTTTAATCGATGTGTATGATTCTACTCCAGTGTTTTAACTGGACAGTGGTAATGGTACAGCAATTTGTTATTTGTAGGGGATTAAAAGTCTTGTGCATTTTTCTTTGCATTTAACTACTAAACGAATTAAAACGCATTGGTTTCTTTCCTCAGGGTCATGATCCCAAGGAACCAGAGCAGTTGAGAAAGCTGTTTATCGGTGGTCTGAGCTTTGAAACTACAGATGATAGCTTAAGAGAACATTTTGAGAAATGGGGCACGCTTACAGATTGTGTGGTAAGTTATTAAAGTAACAAAAAGGTTTCTCAGAAGAGGGCAGAGGACCTGCGGAGGTGTGTTTCAGTGCTTTAAAATTTTTATTTTGTAGGTGATGAGAGACCCCCAAACAAAACGTTCCAGGGGCTTTGGCTTTGTGACTTACTCTTGTGTTGAAGAAGTGGATGCAGCAATGTGTGCACGACCACACAAGGTTGATGGGCGTGTAGTGGAGCCAAAGAGAGCTGTTTCTAGAGAGGTATTTTAATAATACCATGTTGTATGATGTGAAATTGTAAAAATTTGAGGTTTTTTCACTTACATATTTTTTATTTGTAGGATTCTGTAAAGCCTGGTGCCCATCTAACAGTGAAGAAAATTTTTGTTGGTGGTATTAAAGAAGATACAGAAGAATATAATTTGAGAGACTACTTTGAAAAGTATGGCAAGATTGAAACCATAGAAGTTATGGAAGACAGGCAGAGTGGGAAAAAGAGAGGATTTGCTTTTGTAACTTTTGATGATCATGATACAGTTGATAAAATTGTTGGTAAGTAGCAATTTGAATGGAAGAACTTGAATGAGAAAGCAGAAATGGTTTGCTCTATTCTAAACTTGTTAAATTGCTTAAAGTTTGTATTGTGCATGAAATAGCACGGAAAAGTGTACGCTTCGGTTTTCATGAAGTAGCTACACCTGTAGCCAGCATCTGGATCAGTAAATGTGATTCACATCCCAGAACACATCCCCACTCAGAAGTCACTACCCTTTTGATGATGTTTTAATAAGTTGTATAGCAATAAAGGATATCATTTATATGTGCTTTTCCAAAAACATCAAATAACTTCTCTTTGTTTGTTTGATTAAAAAAAATTTTAGTTCAGAAATACCACACTATTAATGGGCATAATTGTGAAGTGAAAAAGGCCCTTTCTAAACAAGAGATGCAATCTGCTGGATCACAAAGAGGTGGGTAGTATCATGTATGCATACTAAATATACATAAGTTATGATGGTAAGTTTCTTAAAGATCTTTCTTGCCTGTGTTCAAGGTCGTGGAGGTGGATCTGGCAACTTTATGGGTCGTGGAGGAAACTTTGGAGGTGGTGGAGGTAACTTTGGCCGTGGTGGAAACTTTGGTGGAAGAGGTAGGGTGTTGTCTTCTTTCTCAGAACGTGTCTACTTAAAATTTATTAGTAAATTGAATGTACATTTAATTCACACCTTTTTTTAATTTTTTTTTTTTAAGGAGGCTATGGTGGTGGAGGTGGTGGCAGCCGAGGGAGTTATGGAGGAGGTGATGGTGGATACAATGGATTTGGAGGTGATGGTGAGTTTTGTAATGTTTGACACTTTGACTTTGTTTCTATATTCTTGTGTGATTTTACTATTAAAGTATGCTTCTAAATTAATACTGTAGAAGACTAGACCTTTTTTTCTCCTTAAGATTTAATGTTATCTTGTTCTTTTTTGGCTGGTAAGATTTATTGTACTGATAATTGAGGTGGACTTATTTTTCTCAGAGGAGACTGTTTACTGGTTTTCTTAGATTTTTTTTTTTAATGGAACTGTTTTTTAACATCAAAAGATTAAAGCATTAATGGTTAATACCCCAGACTGTAGCTGTTCTATTAACCAGGTATCACCAAACTTTAATGTGTTAATCAGCCTGTTTTCCTGGGGCTTAAAGTCACAGTAAACTGGCATTCTATAACTGTACATTTGTTTTCGTCTAAAAACCCAATTTGTTTTTCTAGGTGGCAACTATGGCGGTGGTCCTGGTTATAGTAGTAGAGGAGGTTACGGTGGTGGTGGACCAGGATATGGAAACCAAGGTGGTGGATATGGTGGCGGTGGTGGAGGATATGATGGTTACAATGAAGGAGGAAATTTTGGAGGTGGTAGGCTTTCACTTGTTCTAAGTATTCAATACTGTTTTTATAGTTCATTAAGGCATTTTAGAAAAATGTTAAAACAGGTCAAATTTCACGTTTTATAATAGAAAATACTCAAATAGTGGAAAGTTAAACTGAATTTTCTCCCATTGCTACGATTTAGTAAATTTGCAAAATGTATTCATGTGTTCTCCATTTTGAAATGGAACATTTAACAGTAATGTTTGTTGCCTGAATTTTACTTTAGGTGCTTTTAGACTGGACAGACGGTAACTATAAATTGAATATGCAGACATGTTGAATAGGTGTTATCAGGATTTAGGTGATTAAAAATATATGTCAGCAGTGTTTCAGACTAAGTTAGTCTGCATCATTACTCCATACTCCATGATGCAATTTTCACTCCTCATTCCTCTCCTGTGTATGTGTGAGGTCTTTCTGGTGGAAAGAGTTTGATAGTTCTGTGAAATCTCAAAGGAATGTGTGTCAGGATGGTGCTATGATTGTCGAAAGATAATGCAATGCATGTATATATTAAAAACAAGGAAAATAACTTCTGTAGGTCAGCCACAAATAAAATCTTTGTAATTTCAGGTAACTATGGTGGTGGTGGAAACTATAATGATTTTGGAAATTATAGTGGACAACAGCAATCAAATTATGGACCCATGAAAGGGGGTAGTTTTGGTGGAAGAAGCTCGGGCAGTCCCTATGGTGGTAAATAATTGTTTTTCCTAGTAAAATTCTACATTGCCTTTTAAGTTTAAAATTATGTATATTCTTTATAATCCTTTTATGTGTATTTCCAGGTGGTTATGGATCTGGTGGTGGAAGTGGTGGATATGGTAGCAGAAGGTTCTAAAAACTCAGAAGAAAAGGGTAGGTATCTTTTTTAAGTTTTTATAATGATGATAAAAGAATATGTGGAATTGTTCACTGAGTGTAATAATTTTTTTATCCTGTATTATTCAACAGGCTACAGTTCTTAGCAGGAGAGAGAGCGAGGAGTTGTCAGGAAAGCTGCAGGTTACTTTGAGACAGTCGTCCCAAATGCGTTAGAGGAACTGTAAAAATCTGCCACAGGAGGAACGATGATCCATAGTCAGAAAAGTTACTGCAGCTTAAACAGGAAACCCTTCTTGTTCAGGACTGTCATAGCCACAGTTTGCAAAAAGTGCAGCTATTGATTAATGCAATGTAGTGTCAATTAGATGTACATTCCTGAGGTCTTTTATCTGTTGTAGCTTTGTCTTTTTCTTTTTCTTTTCATTACATCAGGTATATTGCCCTGTAAATTGTGGTAGTGGTACCAGGAATAAAAAATTAAGGAATTTTTAACTTTTCAATATTTGTGTAGTTCAGTTTTTCTACATTTTAGTACAGAAACTTTAACAAAATGCAGTTTTGAAGGTGTTTCCTTGTGAGTTAACAAGTAAAGAAGATCATTGTTAATTACTATTTTGTATGAATTTTGCTAAAGTTAACTGTAAAGAAACACCTGCTGACTTGCAGTTTAAGGGGAATCTATTCTCCCCATTTCCAAACCATGAAATGAATGGCTCTGACATGTGGAGAGAATAGATATTTGTATGTTTGCAATGTGTGTTTTAGATAATAGAATTGGGTATTTAAATTAGCATATTTGTGAATTTAATAGCATTAAGATTTACCTTCAAATGAAAAATCTCAAAATTTCTATTTGGTTTTTGTGCATTTTCTTTCAAAATGTAATCATGATTTTAGTGTATTAGCTTTGCTGAGAGTCCTAGCTGTGTTTAGAACATCTCCATTCTACATTCACCTTGGTCACAAGTGAACTGCTGCCATAGTTTTATTTGGGTGTAAAGAATGTCTACTGCCCTCTGTTTAAATTCTGGGAAGGGGTAGTGAATGTTTCCCCTTTCCTCCTACCTTAGGAAACATTCTTGAAATCTTGAAAATACAAGACCACTAAGCCTGCTGTATCTGAGCAAATTAGTGGCTACCTTTTTTTCCTTTTTAAAGCACAAGAGGCCCATAAATCTTCAGTTAATTTTCCTTGGTTTAATATATATTTTTTTTGATACAAGCTCTCAGAGCAAGGGAATAAAAATCATGCATTGTTGAACCCTTAACTGGCTGGCATGCTTTCCTGTTTGTACCCTCTGCCTTTTACTGGTTGAAAACCAAGGATAGTCTAGATGGAAATCATCCCAGATACTTAACTGCAGTAGACTTGCAGCACAGTTGCTTAGTACAAAAAAGCTTTTCACTTCCCCCAAGACCTGAATTCAAATTTGAATAGTTAGCTTGTACTCACTTAAGATCCCAAAGAACACACTGTTATTCATGTGTATGCTTGAACCTAAATCATGTTGGTATGAGTTTACAATTTGTTCGGAAGATCCTTGTTGGGAAGAGTTTTAGATAATAAGGTCACATATATATATATATATAAATCAATGTCTACTGTTTTGCGCCAGCTAGTGTTTACAATTTCATTCAAGCCCTGAGTATGTGCCCTGTTGTTATTGTTTCTTTGGCAGTTGAACGTTGAATTCAAGATTCTTTTTGTTTTAAGAAGTACTAAGCAAAACAAGCAATAAAGGGGGGATGGGGCGTGCTAGTGTTTGACTATGCTCTCGTTGCTCTAATTCTGTGCCTCTGTGCATTAATATTTGGATGCATGCCAGCATGGAAATTGGTCTTCACAGACACTGCAGTTTTTCAGAAAACACTCACAAACCAATAAATGTAACAGACATTCCATTTGTTAATGGACATATGTGAATAAGCAGTGTAGAAAATAGGCTAATTATTAGCAAATGGTTAAGTCTTTAACAACTTAAAAGTGTGGTTATATAAATGGACACTGTCAATGTTCATAACTTAAATCTGGGTACCTGGTCAAAATAATGCTTGGGAAACATTTTATTAAAATTAAGCTAAATTGTCTCAAGTTTTTTTTATTCATATAATAAAGGTTGAAGGAATGGGGGAGGTTAACATTTCCTGTTTCTATGTTTGTGAAATTGTTTTGACACAACCTTGACAGTATCCTTTAATGACATATGAGGTTAATTGTACTGTTAACAAAACTTTCTATGTTCTGGAACTAGTTCAATAGTGAAAATAACTGTCAGTAAGTTGATGTTTGCAACCTATAAGCAGGTGAAATCTGTGTATGTGACCTGTTTATAAGTTGTATTGTTAGCTTAGTTCTTGTGAACAGTGTGGAAAAGTTAAGCCATGAGGAGAGCGATTTAACCAGCTTTAAAGGACCTAAGATGTGCTTTTTAAGCACGGTGTGGATCAAACGAGACTCACTAAGACAGGACTTCAGCAGCATTTTGAGTATGGACAAGTCAGCATAAATAAAGAATGACAAGGCAGCAGCAAGAGCTTCAACTACAGAGAAGTGAAGGCATAAAATACTATGGTGATAGTGAGCAACTTTCCAAAAGCTAGTTAAATCTGCTTATTACAACTGAAATATCGAAGAAGGTCTAGCAGGAAGGAGCTCTTCGCCTTTTGGAACACCAATGAGAGATAGTTGGCCACAGTCACTAGGTCTAGCATTTAGACCTGCAAGGAAGGGCAATAAGCATTAGGTAAGGTTTGAATTTGAATTTTTTCACTAATTAAAGAGTAATTTTTTGTAAAGCAAGGTAAGAGTAATTTTTTTGATTTGCAGGTTGAATGAGAACCCTACTTGCCTAAATGAGGAATGTCTTTCCTACCATCTTAAATACGAAGGTTTCTGGCTGGGTAAGGTTTGTAGCTCACAGTAAAGCCTGATGACACCATTTGTTTCCCCATAAGTTTACAGTACATATTTTAAAACTATTAGATACATTGGCAAACTTGTTCAGCTGAAAGCTTTGTCTTGAGGAATCACATCCAGCACATTTTAAACAGTTTTAAGATTTTCTCTGCAAAAACCATGGGTGTTGATCTTGAGTCAGATATGAACAATTCATTGTTGGTGTCTTTAGTATAAAGTCAATTTTTGGCAAGAGAGTGACCAGATTTTTTAAAGAATTTTTGTAACAAGCATGACTTGTAACAGAAGCATTACACTTCAATCCTCATTCTAGGGGAAAAAAAACCCATCTGGAATGAACTTTCAAAACTGTCAGATCATACAGATCTAAAAATGGTCTTCATTCAAGTGGCCTCATACATAAGTAAGTTCTCCTGCATATGACTTCAGGGAATTACTTGGACTAACAGGATAAACTTTTGGTTCTCTTTTGGTTTTGTTGTTGACCCGTTAACCAGAAGTAGTGGGGCCCTATGTAAACTAAAGCTCCTTTCTAAAAGACAACCTTTCCCAAAGAATAGTTTAAAAATTACTCCATTGCTACATAAAATCAGATGCTGATTGTTCGTAAGGGCTATTATTGCTGCCCCAAAAGGGCTTGTTAAAATTTGAGATTTGGTGTTAATTCACTTTTTAAAAGAACACTAGGGGGAGAGGGGATGGACGGTTAAAATAAAACTGGCTTCTAAATTATAAGTCAAGTTCTTAACATATAAACAAGAGTAGTTAGTTTGCCACAGATTTATTTTCAGAGAATGGTTGGTTGGGTCTCAGACTAAATCAGGGCTGAGTTTCTACACATCATAGAAGTGTTAAATAAGGTAAATAGCCTTTTTAATAATTTTTCTTTACAACATGGTTTTTAATGACACAAATTTCCTAAGATAATGAAACATTTTCTTTTTTAAAGGCAAGGCATTGTTCTTTTCCAGTCCATCGATTTTATGAAATAAAGTGATTTTATTTAAATGTAGTTCCATTGTCATTTCTGAAAAATACAATGCTCGTAACTTGTAACACCAGTAAACAACACAAGAGATGGCCAAGGCAAACCTTTTATCAAAACTCCTAGGTTACAGCTTCCCACACTACATTTCTTCCAAAAAAAAAAATTTACACTGATGTCCTAAAGAAGAAAATTTGGTAAAAAGGACCATTTGTTGAACTGAACAGCTGAAATAAAGTTGGTTTTAAGGGTTCTAATTATGTAAGTCACAATTTGAAATATTTCTAATGCCAGTATCTCTTGGAATTCCAGTAATTGTCACAAAGTAGTGAGTAAGCATGCTAATGTGCAGGGGTAACGTAAGGATTGTTAGCCTATTTCAAGTATTCAAGATTTCTTTTAAATCTCAATGTTTTACTCTGGTTTATAAGACTTTTAAGAGGTGGTCTGTAATGGATTCAAATGTTTTATTTGTAGTATAATGAAATGTTTACAGAAAGAACTTTTTCATTAAAATATTTTTAGAAATGTGTGTGTTGTTTTGTCACTTCACAATGTTCATGTGACTTCAGTGGTGAATAGGTGAACATTATAAATAAGTTAAAAAGGAAACCTGGAATGAATGAGCCTTCACATTATCAGTTAAAGGTTGTAGATTCTATTCAGTGGAAAACATCACATGGGGAATAGGTGTGGGAAATTTTACTGCCACTTAGGGATTTTTAGGGATAAGCAGCAGGTGACTGGTGAGGAGAAACAACTTTCCTTGGAGAAAAATTTGAGTTAAGCAGTTACGTGAATAAGCAATTTAGAGGAAAGGAGATTCCACATGTTAGGTACTGTAAGTATTTGGGTTTTTAATTTTTGTCTATGCCAAGTCTTGGGTAGTGGGCATTCTTTAGTTGTGGTAAGTGGGGCTAGCTACTCTACTGGTGTGAGGGCTTCTAATCTTGAGAAACAGGCTCTTGGGCACAAGGGCTCAGTAGTGGCACACAGGCTTAGTTTCTCTGGCATGGGGGGGTCTTCCTCCATCAGTGATCGAACCTGCGTGTCCCTCCTCCCCCCATTACAAGGTGGGTTCTTAACCACTGGACCACCAGGAAAGCCAAAAGTATTTGGTTTCTTAACCTCGAAAAAGGCAGTTGAGCATTTTTTCATTGAAGGGTTGGGAAAAGATAACACTAATTTCTTTGCGTTGATAGTTAACATGTTAAATGCTTTCTGAATTGACTCCCTCTTGAGTTTTGGCTGTTAACAAGATCTTGACACATTTTGCGTTTATTCAATATTGCTTTCATAGAATAATGCAGTGGTTTTGTATTCTGTGAAACTAGGTTATAAAATTTGAGTTTAATGCTTGAGTTAAGTAAGCTATTTGCTCAGAATGAAAATGCAAAATGTTAAGACAAATTGGACTCTCCCATGTACTGGAATTAAAAGTGGGATCCAGTTAAAACATTAGGTTAATTGAACTTGGAACTGAGTATGAAGTACCAAGGGTTGGGGGAAGAGTAAAGTAGGTTTGTAAAATGCCATTTTTGCTTACTGCTTTTTCAGTCAGGTAGGGGCAAGGGTGCATTAATCTGTGTTTGCCTGGCAGCATGACACTGGAAGCTGCTTGGGAAATAACGGCTTTATCTGTCCTGTTTTTAAATTGGTAACGTGAATGATACGAGGATGTGGACAGCTTAATGAGAAATGGTAAAATTTCAGCACATCCATGTATATAGACATTAAAGTTCATAGTTTGGGCTTATCACAAGGATTACATTCTATCAGATGTTATAGCTGTATCTGAAAAATAGGGTACATGTCATTTTCATTTAAAAAAAGATGTTGAATTAGTCCATTCTGCCAACAAATTTTGAGTTAATTGCATCAGAAGTACTCTTCAACAGGTTATTTGCATTTAACCTCAGTTGTCTTAACACCCTTTATTAAAAGTATTGGAAAATATGCAATCAGGAGTTTTCACATAGTTTTGTGACCATGATCAAGTTATTAGGGGTTTCTTTATATGCCATGCTCCCTTAGGTAGTTTGGTGATGGTAGTGGGCCCCTTAGAATATTTTTTATATGCATCAACTATGTAGAATTAAATCTTACTTTGACAATGGTTATCAAGTATTAGGTTTGACTCAGCAGTATGCTCTAGGCATCAAATAAGCCTAGTGCTAAATTTAACCTTGAAGTTGTGGATAAGTGGCATTCTGAGATACTAGTCTACAGTAATCTAGTGATGTAGTAAGTCTGAAGGTTAAATCTGATAATGGATTTAAAGAGCTAAAGCTAGTACCTGTTCCATGGTTCCTAAAGATGGTATTTTTTTTAAGGGTGATGAAGTTAATGCTATCGGGAGGTTTTCCCCTCCATGTAGACTCAAAGTTCTTGTGGTCTAAATTTTTCCCAGTTCTCAGAGAAAAGCTGGAGTTGACCTAGTAATAGCTTTGGGAATATTTTGTGTATGTTCTGAGACTTAGAAGAATGGGTATGTAAGTTTAAGGTACTTTGAGGGGCCACTCCACAGGCTTCAGGAGAAATCTTGCAAGAATTCTATACAACAAATGGATTATCATGAAATTAAGATTTCTAATAGAATGCTTGCTATACCTTGATGTGAAAGGCATTGGTACACATTTTGAAATGAGGAACTGAGTTTAAGGCTTAACAATCAGATAGCCAAGTTTAAAAATCTGAGGAGTTAATGATAAATATATTTCAAATCTTGATCAAGAGATGAAATCTACTTTTAGTCACGGGTCACTTAGAATTTGTTAGGTTTTTAAATTCTGATTCTATGTAATGCAGTATGTATAGTACTTCAGAATAATTCTTGGGTACTGAGATGTGATTGGTTGTCTTAAAAGTATTTCTGGATATGACAAGGAATGAATGGGAGTGAAAGTATCTGCTGTCATGCTAGTGGAGTGTTCTTCCCCTGTGGGGGTGGGGGGTGGGGATGGTGGTTAGTAGATACTAAAGTTAATTCCAGTTGCTCCAAGTGGTGGCTACTGATAAGATTGTTCACTATCACCCTCACCCAATATTTTATATAAGGGTAATTTATTCAAGATGAGATTGTCTTGAGGTGGGGAAAGGGGTATCTTACAGGGATCTATCTCAATACCATTGTGGGAAGGAGTTTTTGGTCACTAAGTTGTGTCGACTTTGTGATCCCATGGACTACACCCCACCAGGCTCCTGTTTATAGGTATTCCCAGGCAAGGGTACTGGAGTGGGTAGCCAATCCCTTCTCCAGGGGATCTTCGTGATCCAGAGATTGAACCCCAAGTGTTTTAAATTGCAAGTGGATTCTTTATCATCTGGGCTGCCAGGGAAGCCCACAGCAGAGTCTACATTTGAATGCCTGGATTTACCCTTAGTCGTTTTCCATCTCTGAACTTTCCAGTTATCTGAGTCAAATTCTTAATAAGCTAGTTTGACTTTAATTCCCTTTCTCTTGCTAATGTAGGGCCAAAGAAAATATAGAGTGCTTGCTATTAGCTAGGCTCTGTATTTATTTTTTGGAGTAATTCTCTGCATGTTTATCCCCAATTTACAGATGAGTAAGCAGCATGCTTTGCCTCACTGGAAGTCATTCTTGGAAAATAGCAGCAGCCCAGGCAACCTGGCTCTAGGGCATGTAGACCTGTCTTGCTCCCAGCGGATTGATAGGACTCTGAATAACCTGCCCGTTGTGTGTTCTAAACATGCTTAACCCTCAGATAACTTCTATTTTCCCACTTGAATTTAAACATGACTTGAGTCAAGGCATTTGATTAGATGAAGTGATGAGTGCTGTGAATGGCTTTTGTGTGGGTGGCTTGCAGATTCTCAAAATTTTAAAGGGCTCTAATTTTTACCTGCTATTTATATGTTTAATCATAGAACATGTCCCAAAGTGAACTGATTTTCCCACCTAGACCTCTTAGCCACAGTCTTGGCCATGTCTGGGCAACTCTGTTCTTTCGGATGTTCAAGTACTTGAGTCCCCTTCACCCTATGTCCATTCGTTGGAAACTCCTTTTAGTTCTTAGAAACATGCAGAATCCACTGCCTCCTCACTACTGTAACCCCAGACAGACACCATGCCCCATGTGAGCATGTCAGAGCCTCCCCATTGGTCTGCTCCTACCTTTCCTCTAAAGACTATTATGGACACAAGGCAGAGGAAACCTTTTAATTCTGATGTTACTCATGCTTAACACCTCCAGTAGTTCTCTAATAGGCAAAAGCCAAGGTATGAAGGCTTAGCAAGGATCTGTGCCATGTCCTAATGTACCAACCTACCCTTTTCCTCCCACTCCATGTTCAGCCATACAGTTCTTCAGACAGACCCCCAGCCTTACAGCTTCCTGCGTCTGATGCTTGTTGCTAATAGAATGCTTCTCCCACACCTTCATGTGTATGGCATCTACCTATTGATACAAATAAAAGAACCAGTGTTTTCATGTCGAGGTATATACAGCATTTTTCTTGATTGAAATATACTTGCTGAATAGAAAAATCTTTGATAATACACGTGCCAATTTAGTGATGCTAGATATTGTCATGTAAGATTGTGAATGAACTTCAAGGAAATAATAGAACGGTCCTGATATTCCTTTATTAGTACCAGTTTTTCAACTAAATTGTCTTTTGCCAGAGCTAAACAATTTAATATAAAAAAAAAATGCCATTTTTTTGTTCATATGGTATTTATAAAAAAAGTACATAGTGGTTAGTTTTGCAACAATTTGCTTTTTAGCCAGATGTATCATATAAATCTATGAAGGTAACAAATGAGATAAGAACAGTATAAATAAGGAGTTTTTGTAGTATTTACAGTATATAGAAACTAGCCCAAATGGTGTTCTAAGAAATTTTAAGTTTACAAAGTTAAAGTGAATCTACTGATTCAGCATACTGATAACTTATTTTAATGCTTCTTAAAAGTTTTATATTTTCTACACTAGTTGAGTATAATTTTGCATAGAATTACTTATAAAGTATATTTCTGCATTTCACATCACAGTAGGAGCTTTTTTAGTATAACAGTACAAAAAAACCCAAAATCACTAGATCAGAAAAGGTCAAAATCTAGTTTTTCTTAATATCTGGCCTCTTGCTTTTGGGAACAAGGAATACATTGCCATCTCTTGTTTGTTGCAAGGAGTATTCACTTGGAGAGTAAGGCTTTCCATCTTCATCACGTAGCATGCTGAAGACTTCAAGATACAAGGTGCTGAGTTGTTTTTTCAGTAGATGGAGGCTTTTGTCATTTTCTCCTCTTTCTTTGAGCAATTTTTCTTTTTCATCTTTTAAATGATCTAAATCTTGCTCCAGTTCCACTATATTTTCCAGTTTTCTTTTTCTGCAATTCTGAGCAGCCACTTTATTCTTACCCCTCCTACGTATATCTCTAATTAATGCAAGTTGAGCCTCATTGAATTGCTCCTTGGACATCATTTCATTGAAGTCCTCAACTGGGAGGTTAATGATCTTTTCTACAGGGAATGGGATATGGAGAGCTTTTGCCCGTAGCTCATCTCTTGTGAGGTGAGCCTCCAGGCGGCTTGAATGTTTGTCTTTTGTGAATGGGGTTTTTCGATGACCAGGACTTACAGGCACATCTTTCTTTGGTGCATTTGCACACTGGGAATCACGTGCTGGAGCGCTCTTCCCCTGTGATGATGACAAAGGTTGGACAGGGTCCCCAGAAGGCCACACTGACTGTGTTTTGAGACCCTTCTGTTTGACATTCCCAGGGGCACTGTCTGTCTCTTCCATTTCAGAATCACTGAAGCCAAGCAGCGTGTCTCCGTAGACAGAAGATCCCACTGAGTGGTCTGGTGATGCCACGCTTGGACTTGCGTTCAGTGAGATGCCAGAGTCAGAATCATTGAATTCTGCTGTTGTGCTTTCAGGGTGGTTTTGATTGAAGGCTTTACACAGTGACAGATCAGAGAGATCAATGGGCCCGTTCAAAAGTTCAGAGAGTGACTGGCTTAAAGTAGCAGAGGAGGGCATGGCATTGCTGGTACTGGGCTCTGCTACAAAAGCAGAATAAAATTCATCACCAAAATCTGTATTTACTGTGGCACTTGAATTTAATGAGTTCACTGTCAACTGGCTGGAGTCTTCAGTGGAGAGGATGCTGCTGAAGGAATCCTCAAAAGCGTTGAGAAAATGTGGGCTGCAGTTACCTACTTCTTTATCCAGTGAGGGCATTGATGAATAGAAATGATAATTGTCAATTTCTGTCAGTTTGGTTTCTGGACTTGGAACTGTACTAGTCTCAGCCAGCTTGTCATTTTGAATATTAAGACACTGTGGAAAAGAAGTTTATACTATGTAAATCAAGGTTAAGCTGTTTTTAATAGTTGATACTCGGTTATCTGATGGTTCTCTCTCCCCACCCTGATTTTTCACCAAGCTCCTCCAGAATTCAGAGATAATTCCCACTTCCAACAGATCGTTACACCTAAGCATATGTAACATTTTCAGAGTTCCCAGATCAGACTTCAGGTTTATAACTTGATCGATCCTCAAGACATCCAGTCCATTTAACTAACAAAAGTTCACTGAAGTGTGCATGGTGCCCAGGCTATCCTGACTAATTTAAAAGCACCTTCCAATTCTTCCTATAAGTAGGTGGCATATAAATAATAACTGGAATGACTAATTTAAAGGAACTGAATATAAAATAGCATCTTTGGTATTCATTATACTAGATCTTAGTTACCTGTAATTCTGGAATGGATAACAGTTCCTCCCAAACTTGCTCAATCTCCTGCTGCATATCGTCTAAATCTGCAGTGGCTACCTGAACGACCAGAGTTTCAGGTGACTGAGCCTGATGAGGAGCAGTGAAGACTGGGCTCTCGGTGTGGCTGGGAATATCAGGAACAAGTGACTGAAACGCAGCCGAAGAAACCTAAAATTGAGAAGGCATTTGTATATGAATCTGCCACCAACAGTGGGTGGGTGCGGTCCAAAGCCATCACAACATCTGAAGTTGGAATTGGCTGCAGTTCCATATTTGTCATAACTTCTATTTCTATATGATGAAGCAAATCTTTGTCTTGCCCAATTGACTCCCAAGTTTATTCCTTAGCTTAACTGCTTTACCCTGTGCATTTGAAGGTAAACTTCAAAATGCGTAAGAACAATCTTTAGATTTAATTTGTATCTATGTAACACCTAGTACAGTGATTCAGAAAATAAATTATTAAAATTGTTAACCGAACAACTCTTGGTTTTACTACCCAGCCTGCTTTCTACTCAAACAAATCTATTTCTAAGTACCTGTAACAAATGAGTTATTTGCTTCCATGGTTTTGCTGATGCATGCGTGCTTCTGGCTATGCAGGAGTAAACATTTTTTGTGGTTCTGCATTATATGGGCAGAGGAAGGTTGTTTTTTTGGCACCAAATTGTTACCTATAGGCCGAGGTTTCCACGATAAATATTTGCTCCTAAAATGCTGTTTTATCTTTTTAATGGAGACTCATCAAGGCAGGGGTCCCCAACCTCTGGGACCTAATGCTGATGATCTGAGGTAGAACTGATGTAATAATAGAAATAAAGTGCACAATAAATGTAATGCCCTTGAAATCATCTTGGAACCATCCCCACCTCCCCAGTCCGTGGAAGAATTGTCTTCCACAAAACTGATCTCTGCTGCCAAAAAGGCTGGGGACCACTGCACCAAAGGGATCAATGTAGGTTATATTAGACACAGTTGTGGAGGTCTGCTGTTAATCAGATGTTAATACCTCATTGTCATCTACAAACGGGAATGTCTCTGCCAAAAGCTGCATGCAGTCATCAAAGTACAAATCATCTGCTTTGGGAATGTGGGCTACCTGCACAAAAGGGAAAGACACAGAAGAAGAAAAAAATTGTTCAGTGTTCATAAAATGTTTACAATCTAGTTAATCAAATATCTCTCTTACTTCAGAAGTCAATTTAGTAAAAAGAGCACAGAATCAAAGCAGACTATCTGATTTCAAATCGTGGCCCCTTCAATTTGTTGCCCAGTTTCTGGGCAAGTTATTTAACCTCTTTGAGCTGCAGTTGCTCATCTGTAAAGCAGGATAATGGTAATTCACATAATTGTTTTGTTGATTAAATCAATCAGTATTAAAACAGTACTTGTCCCAGTACCATGAGTAATCCCTACTACAACAGTTCTACTACTGTCAGTACTGTTGCAGCTGCTTGATCCTTACAATAACAATGTTTTTTATAGCTTATAAAGCTCTTCCCTGTAATATGTATGTCCTAATTGTTATACTCTGAGGTGTCGGTCAGGCATTGAACTCATCAGGAGGCTGAGGTTGGGAAGTTTACTTAATAAGTAAAAGGCAAAGCTGGAACTCAGATTAACCCCTGGGTCCATGTTCTTTGGGTCCTGCCCCACACCTTCCCGAGAACTGAGTGCCCCCTGTACCTGGGAGTAGTTGGCTGACCCACTGGTTTCTGACGGTATGTGTTGTGCTGGCTGAATGGGGAGGAATTCACCGGTCTCTTCATCTAGTTGTAACTGAGCAAAAAAGGCTTTCTCTTGCTCCTTTTGGAGTTGTTCTTGTCTTTCCTTTTCAAGCTTTTTCTGTTTTTCCAGCTCATGTTCCTTCTGTCGTTGACTGAAGTCAAATACTTCTCGACTTACCCCGAGATCTATATCTTGCCTCCAAAGTATGTCAATCAAATCCATGTCCTATGTTTAAAACAAAAAAGGAAGGAGAGAGACCATGGTTAAAATGGTTTTAAAATAGTAGATAACTCATAATTTAGACCACTGCTGATAGTAGGGGGTAGGGAGATTACAAATAAAATCTGAATAGGAACATAAGTCCAGTGTTCTGGAAGGACACAGTAATTCTATCCAGTGTTTGCATGTATTCATTTAAAAAAAAAAATCACCTTCAAACACAGCTATCCATTCTTAACATTTATTACTTGGATTATTAATGAATTGGGAGATGGTAGAGGTCACTAAAAGTAAAGTAACAGATGTTGCACGTTAATGTTCTTGAATCAAAAGAAACCTCACACTCGCCTAATGGAACAGAAAAATTAGAGCAAGCACCCTGAGCCAGTGGTTTATCATGAGAAATGGAGTTTGAAGAACATGACTGGATATGTGAAATTTCCTCCTAAACTTGCTTGCCAGTTTACAGAGCGGGGAAAGACTGCAAGTTAAACTCTTGCAGTTGTGAGAAACCACTTTTGGTCTTTGCCTACAGTGGATTATCTTCTGCTTAGCATTTCTTGCTACATTTGTCTCCATGGTTACTTATTAAAAACAATTTCCTCTTGATCTGAGTTTTAACTCCTGAGGTATGACCATGTTGGTAAGGTCAAGTCTTAGCAACTGGTAATCTTGTGACTGTGGTAAAGCAAGAGGCTGTCAGGAGAACTGCCAAAGGGGTGTTGCCAACTAGGCTCACTCCTGATAAATAACCCTCTGAATAACACAAGCCAAAAAAAAACGGCTCCAGGGAACAATGGACGGTAACGCATTCTAACACAAGGGGAGAATCTTACAATGAGGGATTGGTTATTCTGATTTATATAACAAGGCTAGGCTTAGGTACCATGGCCAAATTTTCTAACTATAAGTGTGTCAAAAACAATTTTTTTCTGATTTAAAATTTAAGTTTTTGTTAAATTCTGAATAAGAAATTTAAATCTTTCTATTTAATAGATCATTTACATTGAAAACAATGAGATGGAGATTGGAAAAATCAAGACAGAAAGGGAACTGGGGCTGAAGGCCAGCAGACTCAGTGTGCAAACATCGAACTGTGTGTGTACTGCAGTTCAGACAACGGCTGGCAGCACTGGGCTGCCCAGCGCACTTACAGCTCTATTGTCTTCAGCCGCCAAAGGACAGGAAAAACATGGTGGTTCCTTAGCTGAGCAATCAGGCTATTTCACCCAACCAAGTCCAAGCACCGATCACCCAACCTAGAGGCAGCCCAGCTACTGGAGAGTAGAAGCCACCTCTAGCCGTGACTGAAAGTTGGCGTTCAAAGCTGTGAAACCCCACCCATGAGATAAGTTAGCCTAGCTTTAAACAGTATAACTTAAGAGTACAAAGTTCACACAGCAGGTAGAGTTAAAGCAGTATCTGTAGCCCTTGAGAACTGGCTAGGGTATACCTATTTTTAAGGCAACATCTATTAAGATCTATCTATGCCAGGCGATGTTTTAAGTACTTCAGATATATACAAACCAAGTCTCAAAACCACATGAAGAAAACATGTATCCCTATTTTACAGGTAAGTATATTGAGGCTTAGATACTACTGCAAAGTGCCAGAACAGGTATGTCAGGGGCTTCCCACGTGGGGATAGTGGTAAAGAACCCACCTGCCAGTGCAGGACATGTAAGAGACATGGGTTCAGTCCCTGAGTCGGGAAGATCCCCTGCAGGAGGAAATGGCAAGCCACTCCAGTGTTGCCTGGAGAATCCCATGGGCAGGAGAGGTTGGTGGGCTACAGTCCATGGAGTCGCAAAGAGTTGGACACGACTGAGCCACTCTTTCTTTTCACCTGGCCACAAGCAACAAAATAGAAATTGTGTAGCATTCAGTCATACATGACTTTTCTCAGGAGGATCCCCACTAAAACAATAATTTTCATTTTAAAAATTGTTTTGCCTTCAATGGACATGTCTACACAAAGGTCATGTGAAAGAGAAAGGCCCAAGGTATAGAGAAACCTACACTAAAGTTGTAATTAGGTTGGGCCATATCTTCTTGGGGAAATCTAAATACAGCTGAGTATCCTGTCTGGGCCATTCTCCAAACCGGAGCTAACAAGGTGCTAAGGAGACGTTTGGCACGTTCACACCTACTAAAGGCTCGTACTAAAAATTAAAGAAATGTGTGCTCATACAGTTTCAATTGAACTCTGTGGTTTCCTACCCTTCTCAAGAACGGTACATGGAAAGCACATTGAACTCTTCAGAAGATTCACAACAGAGAAACCCCAATACTTGTCTGTGCATCCAGGGGCCACGGACCACATCCTGCCCTCACGTTCCTCAGCCTGCCTGGGCCTGGGGCTTCTTCTTAAGAGGTCCCAGGATAAAAACCAGTACCCAGTTTTGGCTTTCCCATAAAAAGCACTGAAGAATTTATGTTGGAAACACCTCACAAATATGAGTCCAAAGTATCCCTAGAACCCAGAACTATGTGGGAGGAAAATTTCTGATTTATTCTAAACTATCAGTGGCAATCACACCAAGAGTTGATGTAACTCTTCTTTCCCTTTCCCGGCTCTCCTCATCAGATGAGACGTCTTGAGTGGGTTCAGATAGTTAAGCTGTAAATTATTAACTACTCCATCCTACCCCTATAATACAGATTTTGGTGGATCAGATGAAACATGTGGAGGAACTTTCTCTGTAAATGTAAAGCATATGCAAGTACTGATACGCCTCCCAACGGGAATGGGTTCTACTGCTTGCTGTGAGTGACGCCAAACTCCAGGCCAAAGGAGAAGAATGGCGTTGCAGACCTAACCGGAGTGGGAGCCTTGAAACAACACTCGGTCTTGAAGCTACTTTCCTTCTCAAAGAAGGCCGGAAATTGGCCACTGGGAATATACAATGGGTGTTGTAAATAAATGTAAATAACACACTTTTATGTAAATCTGTATGTACCCAAGTAACACCCTCTCAATTGCTGCTCAATTTCTGATATGACTGCCCTTCCGTGCACAGCTTGAAACCAGTTCAGTCTTTTAAGACTCCCCATAACAATTAGGCAAGGGCACCTTGCTAGATCCTTTATCAACACACAGGAAACATAAAACACAAAATGTCATTTCCAGTGATAACATCAAATTGTTCAGTGCAGGTTGGGCAGCCTTCATGGAGATTATCACAGACCAAAACAGGTTTCAAAGTGTTCTCAGAGGTTTTGCTCTGTATTTTTAAGTTTATATGTTTGTTCTTGCCATGAGAGCTCTCTGAAAGAAAACATCTGCTTGGGAAAAAAAAAAAAAAAGCTGAGTTTTAACCACTTTGAATTCCTAAAACAAGTGTTCTGATCAAATTCAGAACACAGCAACAAAGGGTTGCTTGTCATAGCCTTGATATATCAAACATCATGTTACTCAGATTTTCACCTCAGTTTCAGAAGAAAAAAATCTGTGGGCATTTGTTATTGTGTGAAATATTCAAACAATTAAGAACAGCAGAAGTTTGTCCACACACGGCTCACTGGCAGGGAGCCCCGCAGCCCCAGGACGGTAGTAAGCTGTCCTGAAGGAGCCCTGTGACGGCTCATGACTGACTCCACAAATGACCGATCTCTCTGCAAAGCTCTCAAACTATCTAAGGGGAAATAGTGGGGATGGTGCCTGTAACAGACAAGAGCGTGGCAATGCACAGGGTGGAAGGAAAATGGCCAAGGAAGAAGAAACTGCTCTTGCACACTTCACCCTGAGACACTGAGGGAGCATGGCTGTCCCGCAATGACGGAGAAGGAGGGTCTGGGGAGGGAGGGAGATGTATGGCTTTTCAACAGGCGTCTCCTTAAGCTTCAAGGTGTTCCCGAGGGTGTTGCGCCTGGGTGTAGCCTTCACGTGCTATAGGGAGCAAATGCCATGCACCATACTTGGGGTCTGAATTTTTGTTGCTGTTTTTCTTTCGTGATCCCTGAGTTATGTTGCTAGCTTGGCTTCGACAAAATAAGACAATGTATTAATACTAAGAAATGTTTGACAGTTCACATTAAATCGCCATCTGGCCCAGTGGAAATAGTCATACTGGAAAATGTATATATATCATCATTTGCCATCTGGGTGATCTGTTACTAGTTTTATGGGAAATCTGAAGTTGGACTATTAACTTGGGCCACTTTAAAACGAACATCTTTGTTCCAGGATAAACAAAGAAGAAAGCCCTTGAACATAGAATCCCAGAATAATGTCCTTTGCAAGCTAATTGTAGTGCTCTGAATAAACTAGCATTTTATCATGCTCAGATGATTCCCCCCAAATCAGAAAAGATAAAGCAAAGGTATTATGAACTCCTAAATTAAAGCAATTCAGTAAACCAAAGCTTTAGAAAAGTATCTAAAATGAAATGGTTTCTATCACATACATTCACACGTATAAATGAAACCTGTAACCCCAACCCTCTCCCTCTCTCCCCTCTCCCATCCTCTGTTTTGTCCAGATGAAGGGAAGGCAATGGGAGGTTTCCTTCTAAACATAAGTTTCTCTAATAAAGTGTTTTTTAAAAATTGCAAGGAAAACTCTATAAACAATAAAAACTGACCCTCACTTCCAGTCGCATGGTATAACTGTTAAGACAATGTCCCAGGTGATTCCTTCTTAAAATCATGTAATTCCACTAAGAAAATAGTAAATCTTTTAAAGTTTATTCTCCTGATATTGATCCCTCCACCCAAATATTAACAACTAGCATTCAGAGTCTAAATTACACCCATTAATACTTTTCTTTCAGACATTTCAGTCTTTATATCATACACAGATAGTTATATTATTAACCTAAAAGCCAAATCTGGTTTAATATTTTTTTCCAAAGAAGCTACACATATATTTTTGGGCAAAACCAGATGGAACATTAATCACATCCTACCATCCCTTAAGAAGAGAGGTCAAATTAACAGCCATAGGAAGGTACAAAAACAAGTGAGGGCGTGCTCAAATCCTGAAGAACTGATTAAACAATATAAAA